CCCCCAAAGTGCCCTGAGCGTTCCCCCTCCACCCCTCACTCTTTCCCACCCAGCTCGGAGGCTCCTCCCACTGAGGCCCTAAGCCCCGCCCCAGTGCTCACACACCTGGGCCCTATCCTAGCCCCTGCTTTTCCAGACCTTTCCACTCTCAGCTCCGCCCCGATGCAAGTCCCTCCCCCCGGAGCCCCTCCCCCCAGCTACAGCTTCCGGGGCCTCCTGTCCCACGCCTGACCCTGCCCGCGCACCACGTGCTCCTCAGCGCCCCCCACGTGCTCCTCAGTGCTCCCCACTGCCACCCCGGTGGCTCTGGAAGGCACTGTTCGCTGGCTCCATGGCCCTGGACGGCCGCCCGGCTGAGGGTGGGTGACGGCGCCTTGTGAGCCCCGGGGTGCTGCTCATCCTGGCCTGTTCTTGGGGCCAAGGGGGACACCGGGGGAGGAGGGGGCAGGCTGGGTGTTCCTCTCGCAGGGGGCACGGCTGGGCAGGGTCTGGGGGTCCCGACCTGGGCTGAGCCTGGCTGTTTCCTCCTCCCGTGCCCCAGCGCTGGCCCTGGAGGCTGAGCGTGGTGTGGACATGATCCTGCTGGGCTCCAGCAAGCGCCTGCGTTCCCCTGCACGCAGGCGGGGCAGAGGTAAGGGCTCCTCCCTGGGGACTGGGCTCAGGGCCGTGCCAGGGCAGGTCACATGGCACCCAGGCCCCAGACAGAAAGACGAACTTCTGTCCCATCCACCACCTAACCAGGCCCGACTGCTTAGATTCCAGGACCAGGTGGTTCAGGGTGGTGCTTGTGCCAGGCACAGTGGCTCATGGCTATATCCTAGCGCTCTGGGAGGCTGAGGCAGGAGAATCACAAGTTCAAGCCCAACCTAGGCAATTTAGCAATCTGACAATTTGTCTCAAAAATTAAAAATTTTAAAAAGGGCTGGGATGTAGCTCCATGGGAAGGCCTGAATAGAATCCCCAGTACACAAAGACGGAAAACAGACTCTGTCACCCCCACGTGCCGTCGGGACCACTTTGTTCAAAGTGGGAGCGGGGAAGGAAGGCGCTCCTCTCTCCCTCTCTCTCCCCAGAGCTCATCGCCTACGAAGTCACAGTGAACCAGCGAGACATAGAAGGTGAGCTTGCCCTGGCCCAAGACGCTTTTTTTTATTTGGCTTGGTTTGGGGGTGGCGCTGGGAATTGAACTCAGGACCTTGTACTTGCCAGGCAGGCGCTGTGCCGCTGAGCTATATCCCCGGCCCTTGGCTTGTTTTGTAGAGACAAGGTCTTCCTTTGTAGCTCAGGCTGGCCTTGAACTCACTGTGTAGCTCAAGTTGGCCTTGAACACCCTGCAATCCTCCCGTCCCAGCCTCCTGAGTGCTGGGATGACAGGCGAGCGCCTCCGCGCCCGGCCTTGCGTCTTGTCCTTATAACCTCGGGCCCTCCGCTCCTGCTCTGCAGGCTTCTTTTCTTCCACGTTGTGCAGATGTGTTGCCCCTTGGGCCCTTGGTCCACTCTGCACCCCAGCTTTGCCCTGTGTCTCTTTAGCTATCTGCCTCTGCTGTGGAGGTCTCCGGGTGCACACACAGCACCCCCTGTTCGAAGGAGGAATGTGCGCCCCGTGCAAGGTAAGGTGGGGGCCAGGCGGGGCTCCCTAGCCCAGGAGCAGGGATGGGAACCCACCTCGGTCTCCCCAGGACAGGTTCTTGGAGGCCCTGTTTCTTTACGACGATGACGGGTACCAGTCCTACTGCTCCATCTGCGCCTCGGGAGGCATGCTGCTCATCTGCGAGAACCCTGAGTGCACGCGGTGAGGCCGCCCCGACTGCCCCCTCTGCCCCCCGTCCGCCACACCTCTCCTTGCTTTCCCGGAGCCCGGCATCCAGGGTGCAAGTGCCCAGAGAGTTGCACCTGCAGCATTTCTGCAGCATCCGGCCCTGGGGATTGATCCCGAGGCCTTTACACTGAACCACATTTCCAGCCCTTAAAAAAAAAAGTTTTTAAATTTTGAGAATTGTTAAGTTGCCCAGGCAGTGCTGGAACTTGCCATCCTCCTGCCTCAGCCTCCAGAGTGCTGGGGTTGCTGGCATCCCCGGCACGCGTGACCTAGTTTCTGCTGACCCCAGGTGCTACTGCTTTGAGTGCCTGGACGCGCTGCTGGGCCCAGGGACCTCGGACAAGGTGCACAGCATGCACCACTGGGTGTGCTTCCTGTGCCTGCCCTTCCGGGGCAGCGGGCTGCTGCGGCGGCGGCGGAAGTGGCGAGACCAGCTGAAGGCCTTCCACGACCTCGAGGCGGTGAGGATGCGGGCAGGGCAGCCGCGGGTGCCATCCTCCCCGGCGCTTGACGAGGCTGAGGCTCTTTCTGTCTCCCACGTGGGTGGCCTATTCCTCAGATCCGTTTAGCATGGTGATCAGGGTCTTGCTCTGTAGCCCAGGCTGGCCTTGAGCTCACAGCGATCCTTCTGCTTCAGCCTCCTGAGTGCTGGGGTGACAGGCGTGCACCACCACGCCTGGGTCTTTCCTCTTCTCTTTCTTCATAGAAAAGCCCCGAGCAGATGTACAAAACGGTGCCTGTGTGGAAGAGACAGCCGGTGCGGGTGCTGTCCCTGTTCGGGAACATTAAGCAGGGTGAGCACAGCGACACCCTGCAGGCTCCCCCAGGAAGCGGGAGTGGGTGGACCTTACGGCCTCTCCAGCATCTGCGTCTGGGGCTGGGGCATAGAAAGGAACCCTCACACCCCCACTGACCGCAGGGCGTGAGCTCCTAAGCCAAGAGACCGCGGACCCTTGCAGGGAACGTGGCAGTGAGGAGTCCATCCGTTGGTCCCCCAGTCAATCAGGAAAGGGAGGGAGAGGTCTCTGGGGGGCTGCGAACCAGAGCCCAGATAGGGACGCCCAAGCCCAGGGAGGGGGCAAGAAGGGGAAGGGGGGAGCGGGAGGAGGAGGCGGCCAACCTTGCAGGGCGCAGAGTGGACCTCCTTCCCGGCTGGGGAGCATCGGCGTGAAGTCCGCAGCAAGAGCACTCGGCCCCCAGCCCCTCCGGCACCCAGGTCTCCGTCCTGCCTGGCTGCAGCTCCTTGGAGACTGCACCCAGTCCCCTGGAAATGTTGGAAAGATACCAGAGCCCCCGGCCGGGTCACATCCTGTCTGCATCCCACAGAGTGGGTCCCGCACGGTGTGAGAGCCCACGCTGTGGCCGTGATAGCATCAGCACCCCCCTCCCCGTCAGGGACAGGCGCCTAAGACACAGCAAGGGCCTGGCCTGCCCACGAGCCTGCTGCCGGCACAGGGCTGCAGGAGCCCGGCCTGCTCTGGGTCACCCGCCCGGCTGATGAGGCCAGCCGGGACCTTATCACAGCCCAGAGATGCCCGCTTACGCCACACCCTGCTGGACTTGCAGTACTTGGGGACCTTTGCCGGTGGCTTTGGTTTTGTATAGTTTCTGGAGTTTGGGGCAGTACTAGGGGTTGATCCCCCCTTTTCTCTTTCCTTTTTTTCTTGAGATGGGTCTCACTGAGTCACTGTGTTTCCCCAGCAAGGTTCGAGCTCACGGTCCTCTGCTCGGCCTGCACACCGCCTGCTCGCTTATCTCAATGCAGTGAGCTCCGCCCTCAGCACGCCCGCCCTTAGGGGCAGGCAGCTCCCTCACTGGCCGCAGGATGGTCGCTGGACGCCCTGCTGGGCGAAGTCCACAGCAGCCGTGCCTTCCTGCTCTTTCCCTCCAGAGCTGACGAGCTTGGGCTTTCTGGAAACCGGGTCCCAGGCGGGGCGGCTGAGGCACCTGAAGGATGTCACCGACGTCGTGCGCAGAGACGTGAGCAGCCCTGGCTCGGCCCGGGAGGGAGGGGTGCTGGCTGGATGCAGACCTGCTGGTCTGGGCCAGGCCCTTGGTGGGCGTGGCATGTGCATTCCTGTGGCCCAGCCCAGGGACAGAGCTTGGCCTTAAAATCCAGGGGCTGGCTCCCGCTGCCCTGAGCGGGTGCTGCCCACCGCGGACTAAGCCCACAGCGTCCTCCAGAGGAGCATGCTGAGTCTGCACGTGAACAGCTGCGGAGCTGACAAACGTCCTCACCCACCTGTGCCCGTGGGGACCCCTCCTCTCCGACTGCTGCTCGCCTGACTGGGGGAGGTCGGGGGGGGGGGTTCTCGAGTGCTTGTGGCCTCTGGGGGCCCGGTAGGGTGAGGTCCCACTTGGGGGTATCCTTGGCAGACGGGAAGTGTCCCCTGCGCTGTCCACCCCCGCCGCTGGCCACTGGCTCCCAGCAGGCTGATGACACAGGAGAGTGCTTGGGCCGGTGGGGGCCTCGTGCAGACCCCCCAGGACCAGCTCAGAGGCGTCCTCCTGACGCCGGTGCTCCTCTTCGATGCCCACTGTCCCGGGCCTGCCCTGAGGGCCTGGTGGGCTCTGCTCCCGCCTTGCGCTTCCTGGGTGGAGATGTCCCGGGTGCATGTTGCCTGCCCCCGGCCCTTTTGTTGACTCAGCATGGGCAGAAGGCGCCCTGCCTCTCGGTGACAATGCCCCTACCCGAGGACGCTGCCCACTGTCCCCGCCCCACAGGTGGAGGAATGGGGCCCGTTCGACCTCGTGTACGGCTCCACGCCCGCTCGGGGCCACACCTGTGACCGCTCTCCTGGTAAGACACGCATGGGGCCAGGGGCGGTGGTCTCCGGGGTATCTCATGCCCACCCTGCCGCCTCTCTTCTGCCAAATGTGTATTTAAACCAGGCCTGGCCAGCTGTCGCCAACGCGTGCCCAGGGTGTGCAGCAGGGACATTTTGACGTAAACAGATCTTGTGAAGCCACAGCAAGGCTTGCTGGTGTCCATGCCTAGCCCTCCCTGCCCCACCGGCTGGCCCGTGTGCCCATGTGGCTCAAGGTGGCAGTGCTCTGGAGTGGTGACCAAGGGGCAGGGCTGATGGCATCCCCGCCCACCCAGGCAGTGGTCCACCCCACCCCAGGGCCTCCCTGGAGTCCACGGCCCTGGCGTGGGCAGTGGATGCCCCAGATGTGCCCTGTGTCTCCCGGCAGGGTGGTTCCTGTTCCACTTCCACCGGCTGCTGCAGTACGCGCGGCCCCCGCCCAGCAGCCCACAGCCCTTCTTCTGGATGTTCGTGGACAACCTACTGCTGACCAGCGAGGACCAGGCCACCGCCACCCGCTTCCTGGAGGTGCCACTGGGCGGGGGCAGGCGCCTTTGGGCTGGGGGGGTTCAGGAGGAGCCAGGCTGGTGCTGCTTGCCCGAGTTGCCTGGGAGGCCATCTCATGTCACACACTCCCGTGCCCTTAGGGCACGGCCCAGGGTCACCACCTCCGCCAGTCTGTGCACACCCTGAGCACACCCGAGTGTGTATACACACTGCACGTACCACAGTGCACTTAGCACAGTACTCTGCATGCACACATGCGCACACTGGGAACACACACGCACACACGCATACACACGCACACACACACACACACACACAGAGCCTTCACAGCACCTGGGCCTTGCTCCGGTGGGCGCAGCAGCCAGTGCCCGGGACTGAGCCTGGCGGGGGTTCCAGGAGCATCGTAGATGGCCTCAGGGGAGGGGACAGCGAGGCCAGGCCAGCGGGTCCAGAGGAGGACGCCAAGAGTGGGGGCCTTGGCCAGCTGCAGAGCAGGGAGCGCGGGGTCTGTTGGTGCCAGGGCGTGGCTGGGTGGGGCTCGGAAGCAAACCAAGCAGGCGGAAGGGAGCACGTGCCCGCCGAGGGTGCTCATGGGGTGCCATCTCGTGCGCTGCAGTTGGGTGGCCGTGGGTGTCGGCTGATCACGCAGAGGCTCTGGACGGGGCAGGGACTTCAAGCGCTGAAGCGGGACCTCGGGGGACTTTCCTCCCATGCCCTGGCCAGGGCTGGCACTCCTCCCTGTGGGTGCCCCTAACTCATGCTCCTAGAAAGCCCCCATCTCCACTCCAGCTCCCTGCTGGCTGCCAGGGTCCCGGGGCGAAAGTGGACGCCCCAGCTCTCTGCTGCCCACCCTGCCTCCTCGCCCTGCACTGTTATGCCCTCTTCCGGCTTTGCCTTGAGTTTGGGTGTCGTGGGTCTCAGACATCACCACATCACCAACAGTTCCCCCTGGGTCTGGGCCCAGCCCGGCGGGTGCACCCTGAGCGCTGGTCCTATTCTCCACCAGCTATGCCCAGCGCTGGTCTCTGCTTTTCCTCCTGTGCTGAGGGGCGCCTTTTGTTCGATCATCTAACTGGCTTAGGTTTGTGTGCCTGGAGTTACTGATTCCCTACATTCACGTGGCTCGGGGTACCTGACTGGACTGCTTTATCCGTCGTGGCGTTTTGTTGCTGTTGTCGTTTTCGTCTTTTTGAGGCAGGGTCTCGCTGTGCAGTTCAGGCTGGCCTTGAGCTCACTTTGTAGGCCAGGCTGGTCTCAAACTCGCAACGATCCTCCTGCCTCAGCCTCCCGAGTGCTGGGATTACAGGAGTGCACTGCCACCGTGCCCCGAAGTAGTGGTTTTCAGTTGCTCTCAGGTTTTCTGTGTATTTGGTCAGATGGTTGTCAACAGCGACCGCCGTCTCCCTCATCCTTTTCTGGCTGGGAGTCTCGAGGAGGCACCAGGCCCCGTGGAGGTGTGCCATCACTGCAGTGGCAGGTGTCCTCTCCTGTCCCGGTCCCCATGCTTCCAGGGTCCCTGAATTTGTCATCTGGTGTGGAGGCTGCGGTCAGCACAGTGCGCTATGCTGAGGAAGTTCCTGTTGGTGCCTGTGGCTTCGACTATTTCATCAACAGTGGCTGTTGGACTTTGTTCAAGGGTCATGTGTATGACGATAATTGGGTAATTTCCTGTTCAGATCTGTTAATAGGATACAACATACAAACAGATTTCATAGCAACCATCCTTGCATTCATGGGGAAAACCCACACACTGAGCTGTATCCCAGCCCATTTTACTTTATTGTATTTTAACTTAATATTTTATTTTATTTATTTTGAGGCAGGATCTTGGTCACTCCCTGAGTGGCCCAGACTGGGCTCAAACTGTGTGCTCTTACTGCCTCAGCCTCCCACAGTGCTGGGATTACAGGCCTGCACAGATGTATCTGGCCGTCACTCTTTCTTACAGTGTGTCACTGAGCTCCTCGAGCCCAGCTCCGTTTAGGGTTCCTTGCATTGTCGAGCGCAGGAGGGCTGTGTGTGCGCTCTCTTGCTTTGTGGGCGCACGTGTTGTCAGCTTTTGATTTCTGTGAACTTGCTTCATAAAAATACATGAAACGGGCGAAGTCATGGGAAACCCTCACTCCTCCTGGTACCCTGGAGTCTTCTGTGGAAGGTGACCACGAGGCTTTTCTCTTTTCCAGGGCCTGTTTTCCTAGAATGTAACCCATTTCACCTGTGTCTTAAACAGCACCCTCACAGACCTGGGCAATGGCCGCTCGGCCGTCTTGCTCTGCTCCGAGTCTGTGGGCCCCTTTGGACATCTCATCCCCTAAGACCACTGCTGCAGTTCAGTCGTGGCCGCTGGGGTCGGTGTTTAAGCCCCACTCACTATCAGAAGCCTGCCTCTGTCATGCGTGCCGTGGGTCCCCCGAGGCCTGCATCCCTCGGCCCGGCAGCACGGGGCAGCAGACCCGTTTCCGTCTCAGACGAGCACATGTTCGGGTCAGAGGCTGTGTGGAGGGAAACCTCAGGGCCTCTCTTGTGGGCCGAAGCCTGGCCGAGCGAGTGCCCTTCGGCAGCGTCTCTGCCGCCTCAGATCTGCACTCCAGGCCTGCCCCAGGACCAGTCAGGACACAGGAAGCGAGTCTAGCCTCTTGCCTCAGTTTCTCCTGCAAGCCTCTGCCTTTCTCAGCTGCCCTCCCAACGGGGGAAGGTCTGTCTCCTCCTGTTCTCCTCCCCAAGGATACTCGGGGGAGCCCTCGTCAGCTGGCAAAGCCCCCCACACCCTAGGGCCATGCGCCTGACTCTAGAAACTGGGCCTCTTGCTGTGGGGAGACCGCTGCTCTCGGGTGAGGGACAGCGCCCGTGCCGTGGAGCTGGGGGCCGCTGGCCTCGGGGTCAAGTCTGCCCATGCGTGGTGCATAGCAGTGGGTCAGCCTGGCTCTTGTGGGACGGCTGGCAGGACACAGTGCGACAGGTTAGCAGTACCACTCGGGTCGGCATCCAGACCGCGAGCGGGGTTCCGGCAGCTGACGCACAGCCCCTTCCCGCAGACGGAGCCCACCACCCTCCAGGACATCCGAGGCCAGGTCCTGCACGGCGCCGTGCGTGTATGGAGCAACATCCCGGCTGTGAGGAGGTATCGGGGGCTGAGGGGACATGACCCTGCTGTGGGGTCGCGGGACAGGGGCCCACCCACGTCTGCTCAGCCTCCCCGCACTCACGGTGCCCCACGCCGTGGTCTGGCCTCCGTCCTGCACAGGGACCCCAGCCATGTCCTGGTGACAGCAGGCTCCACGCAGCCCTGCGCACACCACTCACGCATTCACACCCACACGTGGCTCAGGACGCCCAGCAGGGGCTGCGCTTTCGGCCTGGACACTGCCTCCCCACTTCCCCCCCACCTGTGTCCTGTGACCTGGCTGCAGTAGCCGCCCTCCCAGCCATCCCAGGACCGCAGAGGTGGTGCGGGCTTCTCTGTAATGCTGTCCTCCCGGCACCTGGTGCCCCCGCCCGACGCCTTCCCCTTGGGGCCCTGTGGGAAGGAGGAGACGGGGCTGCCACCCAATGTGGCCAGTGGAGCAGCCAGGCCACTCTTCCCTCCACAGCCGTGGGTCCCCGTGGGCGCTGCCAGGGTTGGGCCCTCAGCCCACAGCTGCCCCTCCCAGGCCTGGCCCAGCCCCTGAGCTCCTGCTACACCACCCGCTCAGAGCCCTGGGGCAGCTGAGGCCTGGGCACCCTGGACCCCACGCTGGGGTGCCGGTCCATCATGAGATGACACCAGTGCCATCCCTGAGGTGGCCACAGATGGCCCCCAGCTGCCCGGGAGAGGGTGTGGGCATTGCGTGTCGGGCCCCATCCAGTGGGGGCCTGGCTGCACTGTAGGGGTCCAGAGGGCCTGTGTTTGAAGCCTACCTCCCTTCGGAGGCTACTTAATCACTGGGTCCCTGGGAATGCTGGGGACATCCCGAGGTTCTGATGACCTCTGCCCCTGTGTCCCATTGCCTCGGTGGCTGGTGTCCACTCCCAGGGGCCCCTGGGCTCCCTCTCCATGGGAGCACACCCTGCCTGGCCCTGTCCCCAGCCACCCCGAGGCAGGCAGGAGGTGCAAAGTGGACCGGCCTGTCACCCCGCCCCTCCTGCCCTGCGGGCTTTGGCCCCGCCTGGCAAGTGGCCGCACGCCCGTGACGTTGCCCCTTTCCTTGGCAGCAGGCACTCAGCCCTGGCCCCCGAGGAGGAAGCGTCCCTGCTGGCCCACGTCACCCGGGGCACAGAGCTCAGCGCCCGGGGCCCCGCCTCGCTTGTGAAGAACTGCTTTCTCCCACTTCGAGAATATTTCTCATATTTTTCTCAGAATTCACTTCCTCTTTATAAGTGAGTTGGTTCACCGTGAAGAAAGGGAAACTTTTCCTAGAACAAAGAAAAGCGCCCTCAAGATTGTCGTCTTTCCTCTGCAGATTTTTATCTTTTCCCATGGCTGGCTTTGGGGATTCTGGGGGCGGCAGGGCCCCCACCCCACTCCTGGGGCGGCAGGGTTGTACTTCCTGGAGGGCTTCTCTGTTCCCGTGAGGAAGTAGAAATACAGTTCTTTAAGGTGTTTCTTGGCCTGTCCTGGTTTTTGTTCCTGGGGCGCGTTGGCCAACGGGTCCCTGGGTGCGTCACGCGCAGCTGCTCCAGCTGATAGCTGAGAGCCCTCACCCCCCTCACCAGCACCCACAATGCCCCAAGCTGCCCTCGGCAAAGCAAGATCTTGCAAAGCCACAAACCATGTGGCACTTCGGCCTCCTACTGGGGTGAGGGACAGTGCGCGCAGGAGCAGGATCCCAGCAGCCCCCCGCAGTTCAGTCCCCCGAGGCAGCAGAGAGCAGGCCGGCTTCCCGGCGCTCATGAGGCGTCCCACAGGGATTCCTCCCTGGTGAGTCAGGGCCGGCGCCCAGGCGAACAGGCTCAGCCAGGAGTGGGGACCCTGGGGCCAGCACGGCTGCCTGGCGGGTCTGTGAGCGTCCCCTCGTGCAGCAGCAAGGTGACCCCAACATGGCTGAGTCGGGACCCACCCTGGGCCATCAGGCAGGCCCGACACGTTGTTGCTGACATCTTCACGAGCGGGAGGCAGACAGAGACGCGACATACCGAGGGGACGCCATTGTGGCCACAGTACAGGGACACCGGGAACCACAGAGGTGGGAGGGGGCTGGCTTCACTGTCACGCCTCTGGTGAAGCAGTGATCTCAGGCTTCCTGCCTCCAGGGTGGGGACAGGAAGTGCTGCTGTAGTGTTGGAGCCACCAAGTGTGAGTGTGGGGGGTGACAGCAGCCCCGGAGCTCTTGTACCCCGGGAAGAGGCCGCCGTCCACAGAGCAGGGCCCGGGCTGAGGCCAAGCCATGCAGTTTCCCCCCAGGGGACTTCAGCTTCCAGCGTGCTCACAGCCCCGAAGGGGGCACATCTGTGCTCCCAGGCCGCCTGGCCCCTCAAAGGAACCGTCCCTCACCCAGCGCCCCTGCCCTCGCACCCCAGAAGCCTCTTCCCGGGGTACGGGGGCTCCAGCACCACGCCCGTCCCACCACGCCACGAGGATCAGGCCAGGAGTCCCTGAAGCGAGGCGCATCTGATCCGCCTAGGTGTGGCTCCGGGCTCTGAGCCTGGGGCTGCACTCATCCTGACAGCTTCCCCAGTGCCTCGGACTTCCACCTGCACCTGCCCTGCGGCAAACCCTACTTTCCTGCAGGTCACACCCCCAGCGCACAGTGCACCTCTGGTCCCCTCTCCCTCAGGATGGGACGGGCTGGCCCACCGCTCTCAGCCCTGCATCCGCCGTCCTCCGGGCTCCCTCCACACAGCGCAGGGGAGCTGCTGTCCCCTGGAATCCCTCTCTGCCTCGCTCCTCCTGTCTGATCCTCAGGAATGCTAACTTTCGGGAGATGACCTTTACTTTTCCTTTTGGGGGGCTGGCACTGAGGACTGAACCCAGAGCCTTCACACTGAGTTACATGCTAGGGTTTTTAAGCTTTGTTTTGTGTTGTTTTGTTTTTAACTTTTTTTTTTTTTTTTTTTTTAGGGTCTTTTTTTTTTTTTTTTTTTTTTTTTGAGACAGGGTCTCACTATGTAATTCAGGCTGGCCTTGAACTCTCTTGTGCAGCCCAGGCTGGCCTTGAACTCAGTGATCCTCCTGCCTCAGCCTCCCGAGTGCTGGGATTATAGGCTTGGGCAACCACACCTGGCTGATTTTTTTTTTAACTTTTGAGACAAGTCTCACTGAATCACTAAGTTGCCTGGGCCAAGTTGCCTGTTTGGCATCCTCCCGACTGAGCCTCCCAGCATGCTGGAATTCAGGTATGCTCCACCACGCCCACTGAGCCGGCAATTTCTGTCCTTTGGGAAGCTGTTATCCAGAGGGCTCCACCAGGGACTGCGCGCTAAGCCCGTGCCGGAGGGACGACCTCCGTGTGGGGCGCGGGACAGAGATCCTCTGCCAGAGATCCTCAGCCAAGGCCCCGAGCAAAGGCAGCTGGGGCTGCAGCCCCCAGGGCCGTGGGGTGGTGACAGGACACACCCCTGCCCTGCTCCCTGGGACCGGAGGCTGCTCACCGAGCTGGGTGCGGGGTGCCGCCGCTGCCCAGGGTTTGTGGCGCGGGGGAGCTTCTGCAGGGAGGGATCCTCTGTCACCTCGCTGGCACGGCCTGCGAGCGGGGCAGGGGCACCGAGGCAGTGCAGGGGCCGGGGCGTGGGAGGGGAAGCAGCCCTTCGCCCAGGCCTGGCCACAGCCTTCCCAGCGCGGGTGCCAGGGAACCCGGCGGGAGAAACGCGCGCCGCGGGCCGCGAGGAAGGGAAGGGGAGAGGAGGAGTCGGGGAGGAGGGAGCCGCGGCTTTCCCGGGGTGCACCTCCGGGCCTTTCGCCGGCAAGCGTGCCCCTGGGCACGGCGGGACCTCGAAGCCAGGGCCGGGCATGCGGAGCTGGGGCAGAGGCCGAGCGCGCCCTCCTCTCCTCCGCGCAGGCACTCCTTCCTCCGTGCCTGCCTCGTCCCTTCCCTGGGGACGCAGACGCCCGCCCGCGCGTGCTCGGAGC